CCACCGCATTCGAGAACTGGTTAACCCAGGTGCTAGGGGAGTACGACAACTCTGTGTGGATTACCTCCCTGGGGAAGACAATCCAGCAGACGTTCTCACCAAACCGCTCTCCACGCAAACCCACGGAAAGCAAATCAAGCTCATGGGACTCAGCCGTCATGTTGCCTGATCCAGGGGAGTGTTAAGAACGAGGATCAAGCACCACGAGTGTTAAGGCCTAAGCGCCTTTTACCTATTCCTTTTTCGGTAGCTTACTTTCCTTTCCGATCGATCAGTCCGTATAAATACGTTCGAACCCCTTTCCAGTACCTCAGCTTCGACTATATTGTCCAGAGCTGAGGTATGTTAATTCCACGATATGCCCGGTAATAACTATGAAACTCACTACTTATATTTACTGTAGAACTCGCATCGTACTTACTGCTCGTTCTACAGGTCAGCACAGAATATATTGAGCTTCGACTATATTGTCCAGAGCTGAGAACTTGCATCGTACTTACTGCTCGTTCTACAAGAGATACAGTAATCATGGTGTTCGCAGGAGGCCACAAGGCTACGCGGCTGGGAGTTTGGGCTTGAGTGTCGCTGCAGCCCCTGATGCAAACAAGCAAAACCTCTCTCACGCTTCCGTTGAGATTCCATTGTGATCGTTGGTCGGACTACTGCAAACAGGAGAAACCTAAGGGCCCGGTCTGCACGTCGAGTGCCGCAAACGCGACGGTTAGGACTGTCGGAGCACAACTACATATCGGTGAAACTACGGCGCGGGCTAATAGACTATCTAACCTATCAATCACCAAGTTTTTCGTAATGTTCATTTTCTTTCTTCATTATCTTCATTAATAATTTAGTTTCAATATTACTACTTTCATTTGGGCGTTATATTCACAACTCAGGTGTGAAGCGCGGGTTCGCAGCTAGTGGTTGGTCTAATTGTCGCTCAGCATTTTTGCTCTAAGATGTCATCGAGAAAATAAGCGCCTAACGATTCGGACTTTGCGATCGACGTATTTACGTGAATGACAGTCCTGAGGGTCGTGAACGGAGTATGTTCAAGTTCCTTGGAATATATTTTGACTCGTTCTCGATACGCACTTGACTTGTATTTGAAACCATAAGTTTTCCATTGATGAACTAGCGATAGACGCTTACCCAAATGCACCGTCCGAATAGTCGCCACCTCGAACGCGTACTCACAACTCTCCAACACCCCCAATCCCTCCAAACCCCTGCAACGCCTCTAACCCACTCCTTTGCAGATATCATCCTGACGCCGCCGCGACTCGCTGCGAACGCAAACGCCAACGCCAACGTAAGCGTAAACGCACTCGAGGGGCGAGCACGCAGCCCCAGCGTCTTCACTGGCACTGCGGGAGCGTGGACGTAGGTGTGGGACGTGGTGGATGTGGGTTCAGGGGGAAGTCCCTTCGCCATCGTCGTCGATTTGCGTTTCGTTCGTGCATCTCCGTCCCGTATTCCCCCCCTGCCATGTATTCCCCTCGTTCTTGGTTTCGTTCTCGCCTTCGTCCTTGTTCCCTTTCCCGTTCTCAGTTTTGCTCTCGCTCTCGCTCCCCTCTTCTTCCCCGTCCCTCACCATCACCCGCTAACCCACTAACTCCCCCTTCTCGTTCGAGCCCGCAGCCGCAGACACCCGCAACGCCGTTGATAGTGCCCGTCCCGGGCTCGAACTCTTGCCATTGGGACGTGGCGCATTCCCGTCGTCGGTGCGTCTCTGTTGCTTCCTCTTCCTCCATTTTGCGTTCCTTCGTGTCCCGCTCGCTTCGCCACTCCTTCGTTCTCTCCCTCTCCCACCTCGTCTCTCTCCCTCCCAAACTCTTTGTTCGTCTTCCCTCCCTTCCCCTTCCCCTTCCCATGTCCCATCCCTCCGCCCGTCCCTCGTGCTAACCCGCGTATTCTTCCACAGTATCCTCGCCACGTAACCAAACGGGATTCGACGCGGCGAATCGGCGGCGTCGTGGTTCGCAGCGGGTAGACGAGGCTAGAGCCCAACTGGGGGCGATGGCGGTCGTGCTGGGATGGTGACGACGTGGTTTGCGGCCGTGAGTGATCCCCCCGGTTGGCGTCCCCCTCCGTTTGCCCTTTCCCGTTCTCCTCGTCGTCTTCCCCGTTATTCGCTGACACGCTCTTCAGTCTCCTCCCTTTAGCATTCCTCTGCTCACGATCTCCCGGTGTGCAGGCCTTCGAACGACGACGCAAGGTCGCGAGGGCGGCAATAGCGCGGACATGGCGGTGGTGGGATGGGGGTGTCGTTGACGCTGCTGCTGGGCCGTCGATCGAGGTTCGTGGCATTAGGAAGGAGGTACTCGTCTTGCGAGCACTCGCGCGGCTAGTGGATACGGCAGGAAGCGTCGAGTTCAGTCGGGCGGGAGGAATGGGGAAGGGATGATGGGGGTAAAGTGGTAAGTCTGTGTCTTCGTGACTTGTATGCGCCCGTTTACTCGGCTACTTGATCCCATCGAGGTGGATAGATATATGGACATCCCGGGTCTCGTATTTGAGGACAATCTCAGCGTTTGAGATAGGGTAGCTGGCCGGGTCGACGACAGTTCAGTTGGACAAATTGACGTGCGTTGCCGGGACTCACAGTTACTCCAAGACTGTCCAACTGCGTGCGCGCGCCCCTTCTCTCCGTTCCTTTCGCCCTCTTGTATACGAGCGATAACTCGATTCTGGCGAAAAGTAGTCGGGAGTTGGCTAAACGTAGTCGTCAGTTCAGAGAGGGTGCAAGCAAATACTCACAGCCCATCTCCTCCGGCGGGCGTTCTTGGGGTGTGGAGGAAGGTGAGACGAAGCGTGGTGGTTCCGCATGGATACGTGTCAGGAGCAACCATTTACGTAAGTTACGGAATGAAATGAAAGGAACCGTTCTTTATTTGGGTGGGGGTTTTGGGCGCTTCCTTAAGTGGACGGCTACTGTTGTAGCCGGTAGCCGGTCATCCGGAATCTTGGGATCTCGGGATCTTGTTTAATTTTAATTTAACTTAATCTAATTTTGTATTCAATGTTAATTGAATTCAATCAGCCTTTCCTCACTTGTACACGTGGGAGAGCTTCCAAAGCTAAATGAGAGTTAGCACCGGAGATCATGTAAGTTGCCATATTAATCAATATTCAGGGGGAGCCTCAGGGGAGCCCCTCAAAACACTGCTCAGCAGTCATACTCACGGTTTCATTTATGCTCATATTGTAGACTTACACTCTGGCATTAAATATGATATTTCACATGTATCATATTAACTCTGTAATATCAGTAGTGTAATAGAGTGTCAAGAGAGTCACAAATTGTCAACAATGGCAATTTCAGATGAACATGGTTGATCAGTACATGTGGATAAGTCTGATAATATATGATTCATAACTAACTAGCAGAGATATGCACATCTGTAGAGTGGATAACTAGTTTTACATGACAAGTGTAGTAGTTATTCCCAGGAATATGTTTGTATTGGTATTTCAAGTAATTGTCTTACTATACAGTAGAATAGCATCTAAATCCTGGAGTAGCCGGAGGCAAAAAAGCAGCACTGTACATTTACAAGAGTCCGCTGTTATTGAATGGAGAAAGAGTATATGAATGAGTTCTCAGCAATTTGAGTAATGCTTTTGAATCTCCTATACTCTGTATATGTTATAGGTGCATCCAGGAGGCCCCTTAGGGGCTACTAGGGGCATATTTGCGTGCACTCTGGCTATGGGCTCGGGCCACGTATACTTGTGGTTACTTGGACTTCTCGGATTATGGACTAAATACATACTCAAGCACACTGTACTTATTATGACTGGACTACTGTAAGGGTTGAACCCTTTCGTTCTGTGCAGTCCGACTTCTCCTATCCCCTATTGACCCCTCTCCGACTCCTCGGACGCGCTCGCACATGACTTGGACGTCACGAACCTGTACCAGACACACGTGATAACGGATCAGACAGCTCGGAACGAAGTTTCATTTCTCTTTTGTTTCGGACTCTAATGCTTTGATCATACTAGTCCCATTATTCGTTTCTGGTGCCTTTTCATTTCGGATCTACCTCACATTTGATTATTGCCTAGCTACAAATATTCCTGTACTTGTAGTTAGTCGAACCAAGCTTGTTTTCCCCCCCACATTGAGTCAGAACTTAAGTCATCCAAAACTTTCTCCTCATCCGCTGTCAGAGTTCGCCGTTGTCCGAGTCCGAGTCCGATCCAAAGCTACTTTCTCCTGCTGTCCTTATCATTCTCCTGCTGTCCTCATTGTACTATCTGTAGCTGAGTTGTCTATTCCGCGTCCGAGCACGTCCAAAGCCATCCAAAGCATCTGAAGTTTCTTATACGTTCCTTCTCACTCTCGGACTCATCGTTATCACACTTAGTTCACTCGGGTGTCGCACGGACTTGTCCTGCCGGAGGCGGACCCTCACATTTTCATTAGACTATCTACTAGTCTACATGTATATTCACTACTACACTACTAACTGTCTCATGAACACGTGGCTACTGCGTGTTCCTCAGTATATAGTCTTGTACTGTACCTACAGTTACCTCAGTTCAAATATTAGTTCCTTTCCACACTCACATCCTCGGCTCTCTACTGAGGCCTCTCCCTCACATCCCCTTGCCTCCGCTTGTACCCTCAGTACCCGCGTAGGATCCCCTCTGGAAATACAGGGCATGCAAGAGTGTGGGAGGCACAGCCAGTAGCTGAAGCCAAGCCCGTACGACCTCGCCTCTATGTGGAACTGTGCACCCGCAGGTCTGCGTATTCCCGAGTCCCTCTGTGAGCGTGGCTCTTAACACAGGCCTGAAGTCTGTTATATGTTAATGCTTACCACTATTCTTTCTGCAATTGCCTACACTGCAGCTTACAACTTATACTGGGCCTAAAGTTTCCATCTGTTATCTCCTTCTTTAGTGCAGACATTATCTCCATCTCCTATCTGACACAATGGCTATCTATTTTGCTAAGTACTATTTATGAATCAATAGGACCCGTACAGGCCATGCATTGCAGTGGCTACAGCCCCAAGTATGTATAATCACTCAGTGTCTCGCGTACAAACCTTCAAACTGATCGTCATGACCAGGTCCCGGAAAGCCTGCAGTAAGGCTTCCAAAGATGCTCACCTTGCGAAGTATCTCGCCTCTGCAAGCCGTGCAAAGGCGTTGAAAGGATTAGAGGCCAACACAGGTGAGTGGGCGTCAACTTTGCCACTTACGGCCCTGTTGAGCCAGACTTTAGAACACCAGCATATCCAGTTCAACGACCTGGCCACACGCCTGCCGTCCAACGCCGAAAGGCTCAATTGTGTTATCGCACGCAACTTCCCGGGATTAAACGCGGAGAACTTGCAACCTGCCGACTCAAACCACCGCCTTTTCTTCGCTGAGGATACAACTGGAAACCCTCTTGCCATGTGAATTAGCAACGTCATCAGCCGTACCACAGCATTTCGTCTGGAAAATGCCTGCCGCAAGCTTGATTCGTTGGGGCCCAAAATCCACCACCGCGAGGCCAATCGGTCTGCGACGTCGGCGGTTCATAGGGCTGCCACCCGTGCTGTATACGGGCACGGCCGTGTACTCACGGCCAAATCACGGCTGTTTTGAAGGCTCACCCGTCCGTGTACGGTGTACTCAAATATCAGCAACGGTACGGTACGGCTAGAGTACGGTAGAATGGCCGTATATACGGATTGAATTCCAGACTCTCACTCTCTATTACATTATTTATGTGACTGTACAGTGCTCGTTCGTGCAAGTCGAAGCCGGTGCTTAAGTAGCATGAGTATTTCAATGGTCTGTGGCTTGAGGCTAGCGCGTCGCAAGGAGATTGTATCCCTTGCACCAGAGAATATGCGTTCTACGGCTACAGCAGAGCCTAAAGTAGCGTACAATTGAGTGAAGCAGTAATCAAGAAGTGACTAAAGCATACCTGGGATTGCGAGTAGATTGCGAGCGAGGCGGTAAAGACTGGGAAAGTGGTGGCGCCGGCTGTACCACCATTGAATAGGGTCACAGGTTCGGATATCCTCCCGTGGAAGATTCCAAAACTCTTCCAACTCGTCGACTGATACTCGATCCTTAATTTCGTAGCGGGCCATGAAGTCGTAATCGGCAGGGGATATTGATTGCAAAGTTGTTGTTGTTGAGGGGTCAGGGGCAGGGGGCGCACGGTAGAACTCATTGAAATGTGCTCGAAGCGTCGCCTTGGATTTCTCCAGCCCGGAAAGCAGTGTTTCATCATCTTTGTAATCTTCCTTGAGTCCTTTATATGCGATTCGAGGGTCTAGTACTGGCACATAAATCAGTACACAATGAATGAAGGGAAGGAATAGGTATCACTTACACGATGCCCAAGTGCAGTACGAGGATTCATCGAACTTCGCAAAATAGATGCTAAGTTTGATATGAGCCTTGGTAATACCTTCTCGTAGGATGGGTGTAAGGGGACACTCCTATTTTCTCTCCTTTCCTTCATTCCATGGACTCTTACCTACATTCCCTTCATTCCCCTTCATTCCTTTTCGCTCCCTTTCCTTTCCACTTCCTTTCCACCCACTCCTTTCGCATCCGAGCCGCGTCCGGTGACTCCGGAGTCTTCCCGCACTTCGGATACTTCGGACTCGCTCGGACTCGTCTCGGACACTTCAGACTCGCTCGGACTCATCTATACTCTTCGGGGCTCGTCCGGGTTACCTCTATCCTTTTCCCCCACTTCATTACTCTTCGCCTTTACTTCCCCAAGTCGCTGGCACGACTCCTGTGCATTTACCCTCCACTTCATTATCACATGTTTCCTTGTACCTTGTGATATTTGTTCGGACTTGTGGCTGGTGTACTGTACAGTTATCCTGCACTCCTCTCACGCTACTACAGTATATACTTCGCTTCCTAGCATGGAGAATCCTTATCCTGTTCTCTTTGGATTCTCCCTCTGCTAGGTGAGCAGCCCTCTCATGTATTGTAGTTAGCCTTATTCATTATCTTTGGATTCTCCCTCTGCTAGGCCTGCGCTGTCGGCCATCTTGAGGTTGCCCTTACAATGGGGTTGATGTCATTGGGTGGATGACATCTGTACCGTTGCACTGTGGAATGTTTGAAGCCAGGATGCGACACATTCAATAGCCTTCCAATGAGACACTGTAAGGTTGTAAGCATGTAGTTCTCGGTTCTTTCCCACAAAATCATTAAGGATGTTCTTATATAGCAAAGCACGGCCTTGGAAGACAATATTAGAGCAACTTATAGAGGACAAGAATAATGACTTACGTAGCATTTGATATGTTGAGGACCACCGTGTCTTGACGTCGAGGATGAGCATCATAGGTGCCATGTGTTCGTGATCTTGTGGCCTTGAATTCAAGAAGTGCTGAACATCAGAAACCCATGCTTTGCGCCGCTGTGGGCTCGATCGGACAGCACGGACGATCCGGCAAAGCTATGCATTCACGTTTAATATTCATATACACGGAATCAGGTAACCAAGTACCCGAGTTACTGAACAACTGATGTCACCATCGTTTACCGTGTCTTCATCTTCCATAAATACGGCGTCGTCGTCATATTCGGTTGTTGTCTTTGAAGTCACCGTCATCTGGTATTGCCCGCTACGTCCCACGGCACGTTCACTCTCCTTACCCGATATTGCACCTATCGTTTCCATCAGCTAGTATTAGTTAATTAATGTAAGCCACGAGTTCTTCAGTTAGATAATAAAGCACACCTCTAACGCCGCAAGATGTATGGTATGTGGCATGCATCGGAGTCAAGCATTCTTTGCAGAAAAGGAAACACCTGCATCTTTCAACCGATCTTCTAGTTCACAAATGAGTGTATCATTGTTACTGGCGTTGTCCATCATAAATGCAGTTACCTAAATGAGAGTTGGCACAAATCATTATAGGTGATTTAAGCTGACTTACACGGCCTATCAAGCCATAGCGGTTGAGTGTCTCCCACACTGCGTCGGCCATGTTTTCCCCTGAGTGTTGACCGATGAGTTCCTTGAAGTCAATTAACAACTCCTCTATCAATGCGGTTAGTCAATCAGAGGCTAACAGTGTCACCAAGCTTTCCATCGTTTGTGATATAGTGCGCAACAATAGCCAGGAAGGCATATTGGTTTGGTGATGTCCACGCATCGAGAGATATGGTGATATCAGACTCCAGATTCTGTTGCACAAGATCCAATCAACCGGGCAACGGGTATCCAAGAAACGAGAGCTTACTTCAAACATTTGCCGTATCTGAGCAATTGTATTGTTGCCAGCCTTCATAACCTTTGTTTGAATTGTGGTGCGCCCCGGAACATGGATAGGAGTTGTGCTGCCGCCACGCTGGTACACATACTGTATTAGCTTCCGAAACTCTGGCCACTCAACTTCCATGAATGGCTGATCACAGCAGACCATCCACTCAACCAGGAGCTGTTCAAATATTCCTTGATCCCACGTAGGCTACCAGCGAGATTAAATTAGTTAGCATGTTATTAGGGGGGCGACAGGAGTCTCACCTTGCTAATATCCAATTGATGTTGAAATGCAGACATGATCGACATCGAGCCTGGTTCAAGTCCAGATATGTATTTGGCGATAGCTTCTTCGTCTAACGGAGTTTGAGCGGTTGCGATCTTGAGCTCCTCCGCTGTCAGGGCATCCTTGCGAGTTTTGATCGCTTCATAGAAACGGTAGATCATGGGGATGTTGTACAAGGCCTAATTTCATTATGAGATAACATATATATTAGATATAAGGCGACATACCAGTTGTATTATTCTTCATTGATGGTGTAATCCTTAGGGTCTTGCGTGCACCGTGGTAGCACTTGAAGTACTCCATTCCTTCGGCTGATTCCCCGTTTGCATCATTATCTACCTGCTCGAAGAACCGATAGATATGGCTTCGCTTTCCGCCCTATGTATTTAATTAACATCATATATCTAACGAAGTAAAATTCTGTTCACCTTTGCTGTTGTACTAATCCCGACACTGGATGCCATTGATACAACACTTGCTACACTGGATTCTTCTCGAACCCGTTTCGCTTTCGGAGGCGATGCCTTCGTTGACTGCCGACGCTTTTTGATACGTGCCTTCAAGGATGCAGCAGGGATGAGCTGGGATGGAAGGGAAGCAGCAAGCTGCAGATTTAATGAGTGACGAGTATATGAGCGCAAAATGATTAACGTACCTCCGCATTCGTGATCACCCTATCTTCATCTTCATCGTCTGATTCATTATCCATATCAACAAGTGGCGGAATAAAATCATTGTCTTCAGGATCGTCGTCATCGTCTTTAGGAAGTGTCGTGGTAACTGTCAGTCCACCGGCCGTAGTAGTAGGTTTCCTGGACCTTGAGTTTGCCGTAGCTCGTGGTCTACGAAGTGCTACGGGCTTGCCATCATCGTCAAGTTGAAGAGCCGCAATGGCTTCTTGCCTCTTATCTGAGAAGCGTGGACGACGAGGGCGACCTGAAAGCGGATTAACAAGTATCATGGCTATTGCAACGTAAATGACCACTTACTTTGTCCAGCATCTACCTCTTCCGGGACCGGCATGGGAACGGGGTCGTCAGGATCGAAGACAAATGATATCTTGGAGGCGTGAAGGAGGTTGCCGTCTGGGCCAATCGCGCACTGATCATCAGACATTGCAGCTGGACAATAATGCTATACAAGGTAAGAAAATGTCTTGATTTATAGTGTCAATGGTGAATATAGTACTTGCCTAGGAGCTACTCCTATCGCCTAGTTGAACTGTTCGTTCCGCGAGGAAACCCCACCTGCCCATGCTGTGCATGACACGATGTTAGCATAGGATCTAGCAAGCATATGTTCAGTTATTCATAAGCAAAACTAAAGCCCAATCAAGACTCCTCCATTTTGACAAACATACCTGGAACGTGTGCAAGCACACTATCTCCTCGATGGCAAAGCACACCACACCATGTGGGCAGCAGCATGCCTTTGACGCAGCAAGCCTCAAGGTGAACAAAAGCGGGGTCCCGTGGCTGTTAACGGTGTGCTTGATTGCGTAGACCAATGTCGGACACTGAGGGGTAAGGCGAGCTGGGGACGTCGCGGAGTTTTCGAGCTCGTCGTGGTTGAGGGGTAAGGCGAGCTGGGCACGTCGCGGAGTTTTCGAGCCGTCATGGTTGAGGGTGGTCGGTAAGTAAATTATTACCGCCACGTAACACCGCATGGCTCCTGCTGACAAACTTTCTCATAGTCTCAATCCGTACATACGGTATACGGCTATTTACTCTGAGCCGTATACGGCGAACCCATTTTGATCCCCCAGCCATATACACAAAGTGTGATTTTCTCAGCGGTACGGTACGGAGGCCGTATTTACGGGGCCATATATACGGTGTCTACGGTTACGATTGGCTGCCCTAGTGCTTCATCTGGGGATTTGGGAGACTTACGCTACTCATCCCCGTGTCTCACGTGACACGATCGACCAAGAGCCACCGGTGCTGGATGTGATTGCCAAAATCCTCAGGATTTTGCGGGAGGACGTGGCTCCCAAGCTTGGAGCGTTGCTAAAGGAGCACTATCTGGCCCAATGGGAGCGTCAAACAACGTGAGGTCTTCCTTTGTGATCCCGTTGCTTCCTGCTCATCACTTCTATGAAGGGCCTATGGCCATGTGCGCAGAGAACTTAGTCAAGAGTTAGCGGCAATGCCATGGCTGGACTTTGGCGGCGCTTTTTTCACGGTGGCCATCAAAGTTGGGTCCAGCGAGCGTTGGCATGTAGACTGGAATGATGACCGCGGCAGCGGCATTGCTTGGGTTGTTCCCGTCGGAGAGTTTACCGGCGGTGATTTTTGCTCCCCCCAGCTACCAACTCGTATCCCCGTCCGTCGAGGTCAGGTCTTGGGTGTGCAGGCACGACGGCTTATCCACTGTGGGTTGAAAACGACGGGAGTTCGCCATGTTTTTACGCTATTTACGGATGGGCTTCTGCTCAAGCGTGCGGAGGAAGGAAAGTAGTCAGTTGAAAAAAGTTTCAACACCGATTACGGTGCCTAGGTTACTGGGATAGATTAAGTACATTTGTGACGTTCTTTACATGAACTCGGGATTGCAATCCTAAGTAAAATAACCGCCAACGCTTGTGAATCATCAAACCAATATGAGCATGCACGCATGAACTTACCTCCGGATGTCGAACGTTCAACGATCTCCACTGGCGCGATCTCCCTGCTACCATACGCGTACCTGTCCATCCGTATGGGGCTGACATTGAGTGTGGTGAAAGACGCGCTGGCTCTTGCGATGCCCAAATAACTTCTCACCAACCGCCACTTCCACCCACCACCTCCGCCTCTACCTCCCAACGGTGCCGTAGCAGGATGAGGGGGTGAATGGCGGACGATGACATTATGCCGTGTCGTCGAAGGCCCTGAGCAGCTTGGGTCACATGGCTGGCAAGAGGAGGACGTGGGGTTGAGGAACTGCGATTTCGCGCAGGTGGAGAGGCAGTGGCCGTTGGCGAGGACGGGGCGCTCTGGCGGGCAGGCGGTGCACTGGTTGAAGGCGCCGCCGGAGCACGAGGCGCAGTCGGGGTGGCACAATGTGCATGAGGTTGATGTGGTGGAGGAGAAGGTGTTTGAAGGACAGGTTTGCACGCACTTGCGTCTGAGGTGGCAAGCTGGTTGTTCGCGCAGGAGAGGCAGAACTTGGGGTCGCCAGCGCAGGAGGTGCAGGACGAGTCGCATGCTATACAAAGAAGAATCATTAGTACAAAGGAAGGGGGAAGAGAAAGGAGGGGGAGACGTACAAGTGCAGGTAAACTTGTCTTGCGACGAGACGACCGTCCCAGTGGGACACGCGTCGACGCATTGCCTGTTTGATAGGAATGAACCCGGTATGCACGCTGTGCACTGGAGCTTGCTTGCGATTGATGCCTGGTGGAAGTCAGGGATCCGGCAGGCAGAGCACTTGCACGCTAAACAACACAAACACGAACCAATCAGCGTCAATCCACCACTGCGAATCTCCACCTGGTGTGGATGAAAGTGAGACACGTACCTTCGCACGATCTCTTGTGGTTGTCCACAATACGTGTTGAGCCCTCACACACGCCGTAGATGAACGAAGCGACATGGCTGACTGGGAGGTGGACCGTGAAAAGGCGACATACTCGTCACTAATCATTACGTGCAGGAGGGATACCCTAGACAGCGGGAACAGATGTAGGCTCCAGGGAGAAGCCATCAAGGACGCACGAACGGTTCCCGTTCGTACGCTAAGTCCTCCGAGCTCAGCCCACGCAGCCAAACCATCGTTGCAGACCTCTTTACGGAGGTAAGTCGTCGTTACTGCTTCATGATGTGGGCTCACATGGGTCTGACTGGGTAGGCGGGTTTACCACCAGACGTCCTCAACGTTATCTCAATTTTTACGAGAAATAGTGTTTTTTTGGCCGTGGGACAGCTAAAAAGATCAGAATATGGGCCGGCCTAATGGAGCATTAGGCTAGGTCTATGGTGTAGATAAGTCCGTCCAGTCTGGTGTTGATTCTTTCTTGTCTGTTTTCCCCCTAACCCTCCGCAAACTACCACAATGACAGAGTACAATGATATGTCCCTCACTGATTTCATTGCCCGCTACACGCAAATCATGGCGTACGATGATTATCCAGATCTTGACCAAGCTCTTGTCAACTTTGCCCTTGCTGGCATTGATGACACACCGGAATCTCGTTTCCGTATCAACATGGTCGAAAACTACTGCCTTCGTGCTAACAGTGGAATTCCAAACATCACCCGCGACTACGATTCTTTTATTGGCTTCACCGACCGCATTCCAATCAAACGTGATCTTTACTTGTATCCACTTCCTCCGCACCATATCTCAACTATCGCGCAATCGATGCATCTCAAAGTCCCGTTTCATACATCAACGGTGTGTTTCTCTTGCTCACTCCTGCTCACGGGCTGCCTGGTAGCCCACCGCATGTACACGAGCCGCCTGGTAGCCCGCTGCATCAGCCGCAAAAATCATTTACTGACTACAACATATTAGGGAATTCAAAACTTGGATCCAGCTAATGTTCCAAACATCCTGCTTGGCAAGTACAACGAACGCCATCAGCTGCGCGTTTTTTCCCGTCACTTCTGTCGGACACTAGAACAACCGTCAAACTGACAAGTGAGGAAGCAGAAATGTTGTATAATGAAATTCTGCAGCCTACGGTGGCCACAATCGCACCAGCACTCGCTAAAGATTGGCCAACATCGCTAGAAGCAGAGCGTTTCCGTGCCAAAACCTCAAGATCTGCGTATCAAAACACCCCATACATTCTCAATGTTGACCTCATTGGACAATTCAAGCATGAGTTGAATCGCCGATTACAAGCACACACATCGTTCAAAAATCCGGTCTTTTGCACTCACATTCAAGGAATTAAAGGCTCCACCATGCACGACATGTCTGCGCTTGCCGCCGACTTGGCACTCACCAAAATGCTGGAAGACTTTGACGTTAGCCGAGGATTGTGGTGGGTAGATGTTGGTATTGAACTTCAGGACGGCGGTCGTGTGATTTTATGGCGAGCAGATGCGGCCCCAAATCTGCTCTCCTATGTCTTGGGCACTACACTTGATGAGGCGGGCAGGGTGGTCCGCAGTGGGCAGTTTCAAGCGGATATCAACTCACATCTATTGGAGGTTGCTGGATTTCGCGTCGGATTCCCTACACCTGCTGGCGAAAACAGAATCACCTATGTTCAGGCTTATACCACCGACAAAAGCTTGACCTATCACAAGCAAGGCTTTCAGCATTCACAGAATCTCATGGGACTAGCTGCGATGAAAGGGCATCCGCCGCAATACTGCACTGATCTCATCGCAGCATACACGGATGCGAGACAGAAGAATGTGGCCGCACGGTTAGAGGTCCGGCTCCCACTTCAATTTGCCCCTGACTTTATGCTGGAGTTCGACAATGATGTGCTTCGCCCCAGCATAATCAGTCTTCACAGAGAAAACTTTTGGTGAGCAAGCTATTCTCTTTGTGGGCTTCCAGGTAGCCCGTGCTCACAAGTGCAACAGGAACTGGCGCATTGTTCGAATGGATGCCTTCTCACGACTTCTTTCCGTAATGAATGATCAAAGCGCGGAGCAAATTGTGACCCCGCCTGTTCTGAGCACTTATGCCGCTGTGGTATGGATGGTGAACGGCATTCACAGCCGTCCAAATCCCCAATCACTTGGCCAAGAGTGCAGAAAGGTCGCATTGCCATACTTTGAAGACCATTATGCCAGTGACTTGCTTGCCGCCGGTTTCAACGAGGCCGAACTCAATACACTCGCTGAAGAAAATGTGAACCGTCCATTTTCTCCCTACAATGTCCTATTCATGCGACGCATCCTCTTTCCGCCTGCAACCAACACCGTGCGACTACCAATGGACCGCCTCCTTCTCAAGAAGTATCATATACATATGTTTGGCAAGTCGCTGCCTGATCTACGCCTTCAGTTCAAGGCTACCGGGGTTATCAGACATAGAGACTTACACGCGCGACGGCTTCCCATGAACAAGGGCCTTAGTCGAGCACGTATAGGACCCACTCCGCCGACCGCGTTTTTCGTAGGCTTGACCGAGATACAGGAAGAACCTGTTCTCGACGTAGGTCCCAACGTCCCCGTGCTGCAACAGATCTTCGACGACGAGGATGAATCGGAGAGAACCGTTCAGCAAAGGGTGGCAGACATTTGGGCGCAGTTCCCTTGCTGCATCCTTCAGAAAGTTGGCAATCCGAAGTGGAGAGGGGCGCTTCCGAGCTACTGCAGAATCCCTCAGCATGCCAGGCAGAGCGTTACGATCGACATCATGAAGGACACAAACCTCGCAAAGGTCTTCGCGCGCGCTCAAGTCTCTCATGTGACCATTCCACGATGGCGTAAGGCCTTTGAGGCCTGCTTCCCACCGAAAGGCCACATTACGCCCAAGTCCGTCCAAGCTTGGACCCACATGCGTTACTATATGGATTGGAAGGCACTGATGGGATCTCTAAACGCCAATGACGCCGATAAAGTGCGGGAAGCACTCTGGGAAGAGTTCAAAAACCTTGCATGGTTGCCTGCCGCAACCAGTGAACAACCATGGCGCACAGACAGGGCGCCATCGTGTATTCAGTTGCCACCGCTCGAAGAGATAAGCCCATTCGCAGAGCCCAATATCCCCGGACCGCAGATTATATGGAGTCCATTTCAAGACCCCAACATATTTTGGGACCCCTCAGTCCCACTTGCAATCGCGCCCCCAGCTGGAGGTGCATTGCGAGTCAATGGGGTAGTGCCGGCGTTGCCAGTTGCTGAAGAGGAAGAAGAGTCCTCTGGCGACGAAGCAGAGGCTGGTTCATTCTACGGGCTCCCTGGTGGCCCGCAGGGAGGGAGAGAGAATCGTCAAGAGAACACCCCAGAGGCTCGCGAGCCAATGATTCGGGCACTCAGTCATCTGAGCAATGCAAGCTCTTATTGATTTGGGCGGCCAGATCGCCCGAGCCCGCAGAGGCAGCAAAGCAGGGTGTCGGACTTTGCTCTGCCTGACGTCTACGTGCATTCACGAAATGGCATGCCTGCAGCAATGGAGGTAAGTCGTGCAAGTGGCAGCAGTAGCACGCGTGATCGAGCGAGTGTCGGACCCAAACGCAGCCTGCTAGCAGGCACTCCCCAGTTGTTGGGGCGTAGATCTCGAAGGGAGGAGGAGGAGGAGGAGGAGGAGGAGGAATCACAAATGGACGGCAGTGTCGAGCCTGAGCCAAAGAGAGCGAGAATAGACCAGGATGACGACAGCGATGACAGCGACATTGAGGTGATAGGGATGAACGTGAACGTGAACCAGGTTGTTGATATTGAAGCCTTGAAGCGTGAGGAAGAGGAAGATGAAGACGAAGACGAAGGATGAAGACAAGGAAGACGAAGACGAGGAAGAGGAAGAAGAGGAAGACAAGGAAGACGAAGACGAGGAAGAGGAAGAGGTGGTTTGATTTTTCACTATTAGCCCATCGATATACCCTTATTAGTTACTACTTATCATCATTAATAACATGAATGTAGCGCACCACCAGTCAACTTGGGCTTCCTGAAAGGATTTCTAGATGGAAGAATGTCGAAACGGGCTACCTGGGTGCCCGCAGAGGCGAGGCGAATGGCAGAGGGGTGCAGACGTAGTTACGGGCTGCCTGGATGCCTGTGGCTTCGCAGACGTGCACATAGAGACGGCGATGCCGTAGAGGGTAGCAAGACGGGCTACCTGGATGCCCGCAGAGGCGAGGGGTGCAGCCAAAGTGGATTGGCAAAAAGCAAGGGGACTAGAGGGTAGGCAGACGGGCTTGGAGGGGCTTATCGTGGGCAGGAAGATGAGGGGAATAGCCTGGCGGCCCACTTCGATGTCAACTCTGGCCAACATCGGCATACTGACACGCACCTAGAAACCCATTACGTCGCCCGATCTGGGTTAATCTCCCTCGTCGGGCATTTTAGCTGCGTATTGTGCACCATGGTGTCCGGAAAGTACCTAGAGCTGCTGCGGTGTTAACCCTGGCGTTATCAATCTAAACGAAACACGTACTTATGCCACCTGTCCGCTCCCCGCTTATGCTCCCTCATAGTTCCGTGCGTGCATCATGTCACTGTGATCGATTGCTTATAAGATAACAACGTGAGTGGACATGCCACAACGAATAGGAACTGTACCGATGATGTGCCCAAGTGCTTTGGATCCAGGTTGCCAACATATGGGAGCCTCGCTTTTGCGGACTCCAAATACTTGAACGCTCGGTACATTTCTTTCCCCCAATTCTCGCAATCCCATCATCGACGAACAGACAATCAATCAGGATGCGAGAACAGCCTAAGTAAATTAGACTGCACTTGGGGGTGTGGGCCAATGTGTTGCATGGCATGTACGGGTCCCGTGTCTTTTCTCCTTACCCATCCCATGCCCTGGAAACAACCACTATAATTATTCAAGATACTTTAACTGTTGTATATACATAACAAAGCCCCAGAATTTGCAGGCAATTCAGCGGGAAGTGCTCTTAACCAGATCTAATGTGAACTCTTGGTGATCGGACATACTTGGGGGTGTGGGCCACCGTTCCGTGGCATGTACGGGTCCGGTCTAGAATCTGTGTTTGAGGTTGACATAAGAATGGGTGCTGGATACAAAAAGAGTAGCATGGCAATAAATATATGGCATAGATCATGAGTTAGTGCTTGGAAACATATGAAGAAGATGTGAATGTAGGTGCAAATGTGTGTGAGGCTCTATATCTGCATTGTGTATAGCACTATGGATGCCTTTCTAGACTGCAAGAGCAACACATCTGAGGAGCCAAGTATTTCTAAGGTATCCATCCCTTCATATTTGAAAGATCCATTGTTCGCCATGCCATCATATGTCCAAATCCTTTTGAAATGGTCTATGTATCTTGCTGTCCAATGTGCAGAGCCAAAGTAGATAATAGCACGGATATTATATATTTTAGTTTGATCTGATGAATCTGTAACAGAGATCTTACTATCTAAGGTTTGAAGTGTATGTACATTGGAAATATCCAAGCAGAGAATTGAAGGCAGGACTTGTATTTTTTCATGGAGTTCCAGGGCCTCTGAACATTGAACACACAAACACCTAGTACCATATCTCAAGTTTGATATCACCCCTTGTGTAGATGTGATGCTTGTTGTTGATATGTTTGTTCCAACAAAGAGCAGACTTTGGTTGGCAGGCTGTGATGGCAGAGGTGTGCTATGCCCATTCACACATTGATAGGTTGCCAGCATACTTTCAGGATTTACAGTAAGCAGCCTGTTAAAGATTGATGACACAGAGGCATATGCACCAGCCTCAAACTCCACAGGGTCAGCATCACGCAGGGTTATGCGAAGTTGGTCTCTGAGCTCATTGAGGTCTGTCATGTTCTGGACTTCCATGAAGCCCTTTTTTAGGCTCATAAAGTCCAAGCTGTTGATATCATCAAATGAAGATTCTGTTTTTGCCTTTGCATCCTTCCACAAGTTGTATAGCATGCATATAGCAACATCATAAGCACAGCTATTTGTGACCCATTGACATCCAAGTGGTATGCAATCATTAGCAGAGAACCCTGAGGCGGAAGAGGTCAGCTTTATATGAGACTTCTTTTGAATATGGGCATCACTCTTATCAATCTGAGAGTCAGTTGATTGTGATTCAGTTAAACTGCGTTTCCGATTGTTGCTGACTGATAAACTAGTATATGGCACCTGAGCCAAATGCTCAACAAAGCCAGCCTGGGGTGACTTCACGGTAGCATTTGTTACATACTTTGGGACTGACCTTATCATTTGCCAAGCTGGTGCTTCAAAGATATCCTCATTATAAGGTGACTGTTTTGTAAAACGCATGGATCTATGTAAGTAAGGTGGCATGTAATTTTTTGGCTTTAAGGAACGGAAGGAATGGATCAATTCACGTCTAATGTCTCCTGTAACCCCAAACATCTCGAGGAGGATTACTCAACTCTACAAACAGAACTTCTAATACTGGTTGTCCATATATACCTGTAGAGGATTGCCATGCATAGATTGTACCCTCTTGACCATTTGTCATACACAACTCTGTAGCGCTGTTGCTTCGTAGCTGAACTGGCAATCCTTTACATATCATAAGTTTTCCTGGAATTTGCTTCTCTACAGAACTGGTAGGCTGTTCCCACAACAGGCGCTGATATAGCTCATTCATCGGTACTTTAGCCATATGACGACGGTTCTGGCGAGTCTGCTCAGGATCTTTGACTGTATCCTCTGCATAGAAAGAGTAGAGCTTTACTTTATGCTCATTGGCAAATCTCCTAACCCCTAGCTCATTGATAGCATCTTTGTTGACATGTCAGGATGTAATGATAGACACATCTCTGAACTCTTTGTCACAAACAGACTGCCGTCCCACTGCTTGTACAGACACAAGGCTTCGAAGGAATGCCACATCTTCTTTAGTGCAATCAGCATATCTCATATTCTCCAATGCAGTACGGAATTTTTCGTCACGTGGTGTTTGACTCTTCTGTCGCATGTTTTGCCTTAATATGACAACACTAGTCACTTGATGCCAGATTGCTCTACCCATGCCTTCCTCCTGTGCTTTGAGAGAGGTCGCACTTCCAACACCAATCTTCTGAGAATACAGGGAGACAGCCTCACGGCCCATGGCTGGCGGTAGCTGGGCAAAATCCCCAGCAAATATCATGTTGATGCCACCAAATGGTATACCATGCTGACATAATGCATAACACATCTTAACACTTATGGTGTACAGATCTCTAGATGAGCACATTGATATTTCATCAAAGAATACATATTGCACCCCTTCTAATCGCTGTTGTACTTTGCTTTGGCTAATGCCATTATTGTCACTTTTGCTTGAGATTCCAAATGCAGAATGATAAGTTATACCACCAGGTAACAGACAGGCTGCATTAGCTGTTGGTGCTACTATAAGCAACTTGTATGATTCTTCTCTCAGCTCAAAATATTTGATTAGAGCCTTCAGTACCTGTGACTTGCCAGTGCCACCCATGCCACCAATGTACAGTTTCAGCTGGTCTGCATTTTCTGATAAAGTATAATTAGTCACCAATCGAAAAGCTCGCTCTTGTTCAGTGTTAAGTTTGAAGATAGCAATGCAGTCTTTGATAGTGTCTTGCAAAGAGTCCACAGCAGGGGAGAAGACACACTCAAGATAAGACTTGTCTACAATTTTTACTATGTTCGTTTCAGCAACAAACAGGCTTTGTTGTAATACATTGGGAACCTGAGCTCTGCGTGTATCAATTACTTTCTGGCGTAACTGTTGAACCTCATAGCGCCATGCACTGGGAGCTTTGCACACAACTTTGTCTGCCTCAACAGGTAGTTGGCAGAGGTTAAGCTCAACAGGTGTGGTCCATCCTGAATTTGACATGATCGCAGCCATAACTTCCATGCCCTTTCTGCGACGCATCTCTGCCACACTCAGAGGTCTTGAAGACTCAAACCTACCATCTAGCTGTATATCAGCACCATCAGTACCCACATGGCTGTAATCAATGATATTGTCGTCATTTAGCCACTGTTGAAATCCTCGAGCATCTTCATCCTTCATCTTGGTGCTAAAATCATCTCTTGCATCTAAGCATTCATATCGCAGGTTGAAGTTGCTCATTAGCTGAGATTGTAGCTGTGTAAATTTGAAAAGATCAAATGCTTCCTCCCAGGACTGTGTGCTTAGTTTCAAATCCTTTCCAGACCTCCAAGGAACAAACAATGTCAGCATAGAGCTACAATAATATTCTCTGTCTCCTTGATCCCTTTGGGGAGGAGTTCCTATAAAATTGGGTACAATACGACGCTTAAGCAAATAAGTGTGTGACAACAACAGAAGACAGCATTTATGAGTCTCTTTTAAAGGATGACCTGATTGAAAGTCTAAATATTTCTTAACTCGTTGTCCACCTACCATTTTCTTTCTAGCTGCTTCTGACATGTATAACAAATCTGCTTACAGGTCTACATCATCATCAACTTCTCCATTATCTTCTCTTGAAGCTGATGCCTTTATTGCAGTAGCCTTGATCCTAGAACAGCGGCATACCCACTCATAAAGGGTCAAATCTGACAGTTCATCTGGACGGTAAACATAATCAAATACTTGATCAATGCCAACTATTTTGTTATTAGATTTCATGAGTGTCACCTTACCTGTAAACCGGTAGGCATCATCTGGATGCCAGTAACTGCGAGCTTCAGATACAAACTTTTGCTAATAGAATGTTACAAAAATATGACTTGAATAATGATCAGGATGCCCAAGCAAATACATGCAAATCATGGGTGAACCATACTCCATTTTTGATGACATCATATTCACAACTTTCGTCAGCATTTGTCTGGCTTTTGTTAAAGAGTCTGGATTAGGTGCACCAATAACACTTACATTCCGATCCAGCACTGAGCGGACACAATCAAAAATAACATGAGTTTTCAAGGAGGTCTTTGTGATATAATCTGTAACATACATGACTACAGCTTTCACTGCCGTTCCAGATAGCAAACTTGCAACATCAGTGTTACACCTATAAATGTATGACAGAGCTGGTGTGTAAGTATTGATCCATTCTGCAAGTTTTCGCATAACAATTGAACCATCCTCATTTATCTTTGTGTCTTGCTGTAGAGGCCGAGGAAATCGAGCCTTGCACTTTCCCCACTTATTATCTCTGCATCCACGGTATATGTGCTTCTTGTTCTGAGACCCGTCCTTGTTCAAATAACGGTCACAATCATGTACATTTGACTGCAAGATGATGTCATCAACTGTTCGTTCATAGTACGACCACCATTCCTCTTCTTTGCAACAGAATGGACAGTCTTTGGAGGACCGTGAACAGCGACAGAGTTTTGGTGGTACTTGAGGCAAGGTGGATATAGGGTCAACATAGTGAGATTCTTCTCTGAGCGATTTGAACTTGACGTCTAAGTCTGTCATGGTACCTGTAGTGAATTCACCAATGTGACAAGACTCCAGCCAATCTGTGAGCTTCTTGTTCCAAACACTGTCTTGACTCATGATGTGGTTACGGAGCTCTTTTGGGCTCAGACTACCCCTTATCCATGCAGGTGAAGTGTCAGCCTTCCTTGTTGCTCAACTGTTCCATAGTAAGCTTCCACATCTCCATACAATCCAGGCATCAATTCATTATTGAACCCTAGAACATCAGAAATAAATGTTTGTACAGCATATTTAAAGAATCTGGCACCTGCTACTGGGTTCAATGTCACCAACCTCATGCGCTCATCAGACTGCTTGACTTTGGGTGAGAACTTCTGGTCTGTACCAGCCAAATATACACACAATGGATGTTTTACATCTACTGGAGACAGAGTGATGTACCAAATAGGACTACCTACATGGTAAATTAATGACCACAGTTGATTACGCATGTACTTTTTGGATGTAACAGATCCATTGACAGCGCCGGCAACATGGTCAATGTCTTTCAGTAAAGCAAAACAAGCACGCGCATCATCGGTGACAGGTTTTACTATTTCTCCATTCCTCATGTGATTTGATAAGTCTGCAAGAACTCTTGCATTGATGTCCATTACACGGTTAGAAGTGGACTTGAAGTCCTCTTTTCCAGCCATGAGAAAAGCATTCTGGGAACTGGCACGGATCTGCTCATGACTAAATGCGATAAAAGGAAAAGCAGGATCAGTTTGGAACCATTTGTCATGATACATTAGTAGCAGCTGCTTATGCTTGGTATGTGACAGCCCAGAAACCAAGCCAATACCTCTGAGACCATATGGGAATAGCCAAGGAAACATTTGAGGGTAAAGCTGAGGATTGTGCCATAAAGACTCAGGATCATTTGCCCGTCCAATGGCCAGTACCTTTCCTGATTTATTGAAGTAGTCGAGCACTATTGATTTAATGGCCTTGGTGTCCATGTTTTGTAAGTCAGAGGCAGACAATCCATGAAGCACAAATGGACACGGCCCCTTTTCAGTACCGTCCTCAGACTCCATGTCAAATACTGCAGGTGTTTCACTCGCCTTTGCAGATTCTGATGACCTGTATACTACAACAACAGGTGGTGATTCTCCATCATTATCATAGTCTGACAAGGCGTTGTAGTCAATGTCAACATCGTAATAGTCTCCATGGTTCAGCACCAGCCATTCAAGAGCAAGCTTGACTTTGTTGCTCCTTACAAGCAATGGGGTACGCTTGAAATCCTCAGCTGAAGGCTTTTTGGGCCCAGTGAATAGAACAACCAAGACCTCATCTAACTCAGCTTTAGATATAGGCAGACGCTCATACACTTTGCCCACTGGCGATTCAAATGATACAGCATTAGCAATCATTTTACGCATGCCACTAGATACACGGACAAAGCATGTACTGTAACGAACCCTAGCAATTAGCAACTTTTCAACATAGCGGAGACCCTGAAGTTCCTTTGGTACATTCCCAATCCACAATCCTTTACATAGAGCATACCGAGGTACTTTACCCTCACGGACACATTTACGACAAGAGTCACATATATACCCAGTGGTAAAATCAATGACAGGTCCTGAGAACTCACGAATGACATCTTTTTTTATTTTATGCTCAATTCTGGTAACATCAGCTGCTTGTAGTACATGAAGCATTCTTTTTACAGACTTAAGAGCACTTGTTTTCGTTGTCAATACAAGTTGCCCACAGACGGCACACCCAACCTCCTCAAATGCTGCAGGTTGGAATTTGTTGCTAGCACTAGATATGACAGCATGGATAGTCTCCCTGTTTGGAAGTGGAGGAGGGAATGACACTGGGCTAGCATCATTGCACTCATGTTCAGTTGGTGCAGGGGCTTTAGGTTTATTGAAATGATCCACGATTTTGTATTTGAAAATATATGTCAATGCCAGACAGCAGGAGGTATCACATGAATGAGCAAGACACATATCAATAAGAATGTCTTTAGGACATTTGAGACCACATGATATTCCATGTCTACGTGCAACATCTCGTCCTTCTTTTGCAGAAACTAGTGGCAGAATATAGTTCAACTCTGCACGGACACGAAAGAAACTAGAGGCAGGCCATTCATCCAACTCATCATCAGAGCATATCATTGTGTATTGCATCCCTAACCGACTGACATCCAAGTCTATGCTGGACAAGGAAGGGCCATCAACAATGTACTGGACTAATTCCGTGTACCGAGTAAGGACATATTTATAACCACCTCGAAATGGAGTTACATTTATGTTGAGATTGGGAGTGGCACAACTGTGACGAACAACAGGACTGACATATTTCATGATAATGACCATCAATAAGACAAAGAACAGCACCAAACAATACACCCATAAATGGGGCAGGGCAAGGCGACAAGTGCCACACCCTAACATGAATGAATAGATACGCCATGGGATTGCAAAGACAAGGACAAGTTTCATAATTGGATGCGCTGCACAAGTGAAAAATCAGCCAAGGTCCAAACAGAATGAGGAGCTAAAGCAAGGGAATATAAACTCACACAGCACAACACGCAAACACAACCAGGTTGATAGTGAATAGTGTGTAGTTGATGAGAGAGAAGGCAAGCGTGATGGAGCAAGAAGTGTAATCGAATTTTCGACCGTGGGAAGAAAAATCTAGACAGGGGTAACACATACAGATATAGAATAACCCAACTACAAGTCTGATAATCCCGCGAGACGACATGGGGTGAGGTAGGGCTAGTACTATCATATAAAGTATCTGACCCAAACCAAATGCCATTGGATGGATATCAACAGCTGAAACAAGGAACAAGGTAGGACAGACGAAGGAGACAACAAGTGCAAGTGAAACATAAAACGATGTGCCAGATAATATAGTCCATATCGGTCACTCATTAACACTTACGCCTCCTCCTCAGCGTCTTCTTCTTCCACAAACTCAAACTCCTCCTCCACCCCTTCATCATCATCTTCCTCCTCCTCCTTCCCAGCGTCTTCTTCCAAGATAGTGTTCGTCGTTGTCACCTCCCCCTCCTGCTGGAAATCCTCTTCTTCTTCTTCTTCCTCTGCCTGTTCGTCATCTTCCTCTTCTGCCTCATCGTCAACATATGTCAAAGCATAGGTGTGGTCATCTGTAGGACCAGAGACATCAACGTAATCGGGAGGACCATAGAGCTGTGACTGAAGGCTTGAGATGTACATGGGGGTGATCTCATCTGTCACTGGCGACAGCAAGAACTGCTGCTTTGTGGGAGAGGATGAGGTGGGGGATGACGACCCAGGCACCACACAGTGCCCAAGGATGATGAGAAACATGGCGTTGAGTGATATTTGCCGGGGATCAAGATCCATGTCGTCCGCCTTGGCTGGTTTGTACGCGCTTGCAGTAAAGCCCACCAGCACCACATAATACTCATCTGGCCCTGATGAGGGAACATTGTTGTCTGTGATGGAGTTGAGGTAACGTGGAAGGCGTCCTTCAGCAAGATCTGAGAGACTGTCGGCAAGACCTTCAGCATCCATTAAAAACCCATCTCGGTCCTTCTTATCATTGCGGCGCCCATCATAAATTGGTACTGAAAGGAGGACGAGTGAGTGAACATCATCTTCAACCAAGACTACACTTACCTTCGTTGTGGTGTTCCTTGCATGCAGGGTACCGAATGTCAGTGCGCGAGGTGTTGGATGGCGGCCGCTCCATGGTCCTGGGTGCTTTCCGAGAGACAAATCCACACCCTTTCTGGGTATTGCGTGAAGGGGTCTGAGATGGACTAGGGGATGCTGACGGAATATGTGACTGAATGGAATACAAGGTATAACCATAGCCACACTCACAATACAGGGACGTTGCATCTGACCTTGTGGCAAACTGTAGGGTTCCTTGAGGACGATATGCCAGCAGCTTGTCTTTACCGAAGACTGTGCCCAGATGCGCTGAGAATATGTCCATGTAGTCGTCAAATGGCCAAGCCAGCAAGCGTTTATGATTTCCCAATGATGGCGAGCCTGCATGGACCTGTACTGTCTCCGAGAGGTCACATTCTGAAACGGCCACTGGAAGCATATACACAACAGGGTACCCGCGTATAGGGGTCTCTGCAAATACTGCTTTGCCTCCGTCGACCATAATCAAATCAGGATTCACAGACAACGGGTTGGCATATACACCAACAGTATCAAAGCAAACTGCATCATACAGCACGCTGGGTAAGGTGTCAGGTGTTGTTAAAGGTTGTAGAGAGAAAGAAGCAAACTTACATGCGTTGGAAATCAGTCTTCAAGTGGGACATGGTGAAAGACAAGCTAGGGAGTGCAGAGTTTGTGTTCCCTGACTCGTACCGAGAGACAATTTGGCATGGACTGGGGGGAAGAAGAGTCAATGGCTATTCTGCCACTCACGGTGTCACACTCAGTGGGGTTTTCACTGAAATGTTTTGGATGTAGTTGGATCAGTCTAGATAGATCGGACAGTCACCCAAGTTGCTGCAGGCTGAGGTGTGTTATTGAAAGAATATTCACTGGGATTCTACAAGGTAGTAGAAAGGGAAATAGGGGATGGATAGGGATAGGGGTAGAAAAAGAGTGTAGGCTAGAAGTCAATAATGGCTTCACGAGGATGAGGAAGAAGGATAGAATACTATACAGTACTAAAGATAAGTTGAAATGAAGTATGACAATAAGACTATGATGAGGAAATATTCTTTCCCTAGGATACGTTGTATGACTCCGCAATGAGACAAAACTATGAAGCTCTAGATCAGACGTTTCTGCTAGATCACTTCCGAAACTGAAATAACAATAAGACACCCTGCAGAATCGTTCTACAGTCTAAATGTCCAGGTTACGACAAAACAATATGCGGTGGAATCAATACACAGGTATCCAGAATAATGTAGACACAAGCTACCAAATTACTCTGTTCGCTAGTAAAGAATGCTTTCACTGATCTGAGTACTCAATTATCAATATAATCAAGACTACTAATACAATGAGACTATACAGAAGTTCTATATAGAAGCTAGGATAAGGACAACTTTATCCTACTATGCTGAAGGTATTCATTCTCAGGGAACAGCTAGATCAAAGAGAACTAATAAATTGAACTTCACTTCGCATTGCGTTCGATGATTTCATGATTTCTATCTACTACAATTTGGGGGGTATTTATACTCTACGAATACTAAGGCTGTGCAAGGATCAAGAGTAGTAGGCTGTGCAAGGCTGTGCTAAAGCTATGCTAAAGCTGTGCTAAAGCTGTGCTAAAGCTATGCTAAGGCAGTGCTTAAAACCTGTTTCATCAGTGCCGAGCCTAAAACCAAGTACTTGCTTTATAATTGCTTAGTAAGGAAGAAATCAAATTCTTCTACATTCCAGAATATTCTTCCAAGTTCTACAGGTTACTGTATTGTCCTACAGTCTCCTATAATTTTCTTCAGCTTGTCTGAGTGAAGTGTAGTAATTGGTTGAATAATCCTGATGTAGGAGTGAAGATAGGAGTAAAGGGAATTAAAGGGGCTTTGGAAAAGGGTAATGTAAGGTAAAATAAGTCTGTGACCATAACACAAGATCCATAGGACTTGATTCAACTTGCGAGGTGATGTCTATGGATTATAGCAGTGTATGAAGGAAGGTATAAAACACTAATATTCATGTCACTTACTACAAATCCCAATTTGGAGTATGACAACGGATGATAGCAGGTACGCACCGGAGTTTTGCAACAAGCCCTGACTCGGTGATGTAGACAAGCAGAGGGCGTATAATGATGTCAAAATCATTAAGGTCGATTGCGAGTGTTGCCCTAGTGGTCTGTACAACAGCAGTAGAGCGGACAGTAACAGCATTTCCATTGCCAGACATCTGACCACGGCCAACATCCTGAACCTCCTCGTCGCTATCATCAACAACGACAGTTGCTCGTTTTAGGCTATGGTGACAGAGAAGTTAGTGAGCGAGCTGTACTATAGGTCATCGCATACCGTTTAGTAGTACTAGGTGACGTTGGTAATAGTGTCTTGGGTGTCCCAGGTGTGACATCACCTAGCGAGTCAACATGTCGCCTAAGAATAATCGGGAAACTCATCAACGAAACAATCCACCACACTGAGGCAAAGGAAATGACCTGCTTACTTTCGCTTCATAACTGGGGTAGCCATCGGTGTTGTGTCATCGTCAGAAATAACAACGAGGGCTTTCGCTTTACCCCTTGCCTTTGAAGTAGGGGTGGGGGTCATTGGGGTGTTTGTAGGGGGTGAGGCAACCATGACGATGGGTTCAATCTCCTCCTCCACCTTGACTGTGATGGGAAGATCACGAGTGACCTCGGCTTTGAGAACATCCATCTGGGGTCCAGATGATGCGGTGGCTTTTGTTGGAGAGGCCTTACTGGGGGGCTTCTTCATGACAGCGGGTTTCTTCTTTATGACCTTGACAGGGGTACTGGTACTGGTAATGAGGTGTCATCATCAGTGCTATGTCAAGTTAAGGACAGAGGATAAAGAGACATACTCGTTGCCTCCCACCTCCCGTAAAGACATCTCTGCCGCCTTCTGACTTGGTCGCCGAACACGGATAGCTCTAAGAAGAGAGTGTGAGTGGCTTTGCATATGAGTAGAGTCTAGATTATACTGACTTCTTTTTCTCAACTAAAACTGCCGCTGTCGATGGCTTATGTTCACCCTCATCATCGGAGGTGCCAAAGGCAAGCTTGACTGGAATGATCTTGCTCGGATCACTAATTGTAAAACGTCGCCGTGAGCATCACAGTAGGAACTAAGAAAACAAACCAAGGAGATACATACCTAGCAGATACAGCAGGCGCCTTTCGGACAGAAGGCTTGCCGCTGCCGCCGATAGCGGGCTTCTTCTTTGGTGCACGTCTGCACATAAGAAAAAAGTCAGGTCTGGGATCAGTTGATAACAATAAACCGTCTCGAAGTACGTACTGAACTACTCCGGAACCGACATCAAGATCAAGGGTCGGAGCAGGAGCAGAGTCGCTCTCCACCTTGACTGGTATTTTCTTAGCAGAACGCCTAGATGGAGTGAAGCAAGGAGTAGGGGTTAGTCTCTGAGATGCATAGTAAAGGGCCACTCACTGGATGATTGGACGGCTCATGATTTCAGGGTGCAGAGTACTGGGTAGGTGTAATTAGATTGGAAACGGGGGCAATGCGAAAGCTGAAAAAGCTGAAGTGCGGAGCGGAGGATATCACATCATTTATAGAGATAGATTCTACTCACCAAGGTGGACTCCTTGCTCCACGCCGCTGTAGCTGTATTTCCGGGTCTTGGAACACATGAAACACTTCGGCCTGAGGCGTGTTGATTATCGCACACCAGCTGGCCTGAGCAAAGTGACAAGGAGGGCGAGAGAAGACGGTGAAGAACACAGGAGAAGGGCAACAACAGCATGGGTGACCACCACGGGGTATTTTCTTATCTTTGTGGACTTTGTGGATGGTTGTCACTGTGTACTCGAAGTATCAGAGCGCAGATCAGGAAGAGCTGAGAGGAGGCCAACCGTACGGTGTATGGCACTTCGTGGACGGTGTGCATCAAAGATAAGCCTAGATAAGAGTTCTTTTTGGAAAGCGAGCAGAAGCGAGCAGAAGACCGACCATCTACGCGATAGAAATAATAGTTTATAACACGGTGCAATGATGCTTCACCAGGGCGCATCTGTTCCAAGAGAAGGCAAGCAAGACACCGAACGACACAACAATGACAATGGACAAATTTTATGACCAGGCATTAGCAGGTAAGAGGAAGCAGTCACCGTAACGAAATACATGACCATCATATAACCACAGCTCAACTCCTCGATGTGTTCATATTGGAGAGATCGACCAGCAACAACCTGCAATGCTTCAACTTCTCTGAAGTAAGTCGTGCAGCATCAGCGCACCGGTAACATATTCCCTCAAATCATCATACCTTCTAGGATTCAGCCAACCAACTCTCAATTGAGACACAGGGGAAATTAGCGAAGCTTGTTAATAATGCTGGCACAAGCGACATGGAGGAAGCTTCAGTTGGCTTGCAAGGCATCGTAGCGCAGGTGTCCTTGCCTCCGTTTGCTGATAACACAGGGTGAGTGGACATCTCTTCATTGACAGAAAATCAAGAGGAACTCAGTGTAGCCTCAGGCAGTCACACCAGCGACTTTCGCAGCTTTGCCAGGGAGTCACCATCACTGGGCTGTCTTCAACAAACTTCGTCACCATGATGGACAAACTACGACATGCTCACAGCCTGTTCAGCAGATTTACACCAGGGGGCAGACTCCGCTCCCCCGAGTTTATCAGTACTCAGGATTTTGAAAGCAGGAACGGTACCGTGAATTTCCCAACGATCAGCACTGGTAACCGGTTCTTCACCCCTAGCCACTTGGCGGCAGGTCTACAACCAACTGCAGTAACCAAGGACATAGACCCAAGCGGTGTTTTGAAGAAGGCAGACAGCAGACGTCTTATCCATACGGAGGACAACGAGGTCAAGTACTATATTATGTCTAAGAGCAACGACAAGATCAAGTAAGTATCAGCATTTATTCGTTTCACGAACACTCACCTTAAGGGAAATCCATATCCACAGGTACATTCCTACGTCACCCATCATCTTCCAAGTGGGAGACATTGTTGAGATTCAGGTGTTGCTAGTCAGTTTTCCCATAACTGTAAGGGCAACCTCAAGATGGCCGCACAGCGCAAGCCTAGCAGAGGGAGAATCCAAAGAGATGAATAAAACTAGCTACAATACATGAGAGAGCTGCTCACCTAGCAGAGGGAGAATCCAAAGAGAACAGGATGGGGATTCTCCATGCTAGGAAGCGAAGTATATACTGTAGTAGCGTGAGAGGAATGAAGGGTAACTGTACAGTACACCAGCCACAGGTACGAACGAATATCACAAGGTACGAGGGGGCATGTGATAATGAAGTGGAAGGGGAATGTACAGGAGTCGTGCCGGCGACCTGGGGAAGTGGGGACAAGGAGTAATGAAGTGGGAGAAGAGGATGGAGGTAGCCCGGATGAGCCCCGAAGTGTATCTACGAGTCCGAGCGTATCCGAAGCGTCCGAGCGAGTCCGAGGCGAGTCCGAAGCGCGGGAAGACTTCGGAGTCACCGGACAGGGCTCGGATGCGAAGGGAGTGAACGGAAGGGAAGCGGGAAGGTAAGGGGACGAAAGGAAAGGAAAGGGAATGAAAGAAAGAGGAAAGGGACGAGGAGGAAGGGGACGGGACAGGGGAAAAAGGAGAGAATAGGAGTGTCCCCTTACATCACCCCCCCTTCAAGGCTGCGGCGACCCGACGCGAAGATTCCTGCCTGCCGCGCCATGAATTCACCAACCCCGAAACTCCGGATTGCTGCGAGAAGATGTCGAAGTACGACTGCACAGAGCCCGGAGCCTTCCGACTACGCCAACGCTCCCAGGACTGGTCCAGTGCTGCAGGAGTCATCCGGAGAGGTAGAGCAGTCATCGGACTCACCGGACTTGTCCGGAGTACGCGTACTGCATCCGGATGACGATCATGGAAGTCCTTGACCTTCCGGGCAGCATGCTGGAGGTTGCTCGCAGGCTCTCAGGAGTCGTGCTCGATACCATAGCCTCGCCAGCGCACCAGATACTTCAGGACCCGACCGAACCGTCTGCTATTCCGGACCTCTTCTACCTCATGCTCCTCTTCTCCGTCAACGAGCTGCGGAGGTGGCGGAGCGACAGGGCGTCTACCCGGGATGGGGTCCGGAACGAAGGGAGAGAGTTTGACCACTGGGAAGACGGGATGGAGACGGGATAAGCCCGGAGGGAGCTGGAGTCGGTACGCTGCCTTGCCAACCTTCTGGACGACCTTGTAAGGACCGAGTCGTGCGTGTCCGAGTTTCCGGGAGGGTCGGGCGAGGTTGATGTCCGACGAGTCCAGCCAGACCTTGTCACCCGGTTGGTACTCCGGAGCAGGAGTCCGACGCTGATCGTAGTAGCGCTTCATGTCGTCCTGAGCCTTGACCAATGCGGACTGAGCCTCGTCAACTGCGGACTTCATCCGGTCTACGAACTCATTTGCGGACTCCATCCGAGACGGTGGTTGGTGAGGTTCGAACCCGAGGCGAGGATGACGGCCGGTATCCAGGAGGAAGGGTGACTGCTGAGTGGATGCATGGACCCGGTTGTTGTACACGAACTCCGCCATAGGTAGGAGGCGAGCCCAGTCATCCTGACGCTCTCCGACGAAGATCCGGAGATAGGACTCGAGTTCCTGGTTAGTCCGTTCCGTTTGTCCGTCGGACTGAGGGTGGTACGCAGTGGAGGCAGCCAGCTTGATTCCGAGCATCCGGTAGACTTCTCGGGTGAACTCTGCGACGAATTGCGGACCCCGGTCAGACACGACGGACCGAGGGAGTCCGTGCAGCTTCCAGACGTTCTGCAGGTACAGGTTCGCGGATCCGAGGGCGGACACTGTGGTGTGAGTGGGAATGAAGTGGGCATGTTTGCTTACGGAGTCGACCACGTTCATGACAGCATCAAATCCATCGGACTCCGGAAGCTCGACGATGAAGTCGACACTCAGACGATCCCAGCGTTCATCCGGAATGGGAAGCGGATGGAGTTCACCCATGGGCGGATGCCTTTGGGCCTTCGTCCGGAGACAAAGGTCGCAATGGCGGGTGTAGGATCCGACGTACCGGGACATGTTGGGCCACCAGTAGCTGCGTGAAACGAGCTCGAGGGTCTTCCACCTGCCGGCGTGTCCTGCGACCTTGGTGTCGTGGTGCTGGGCTACAATGGTCCGACGCAAGTCCGGTGAGTCCGGAACGTAGATCTTACCCCGGAACATCAGGAGTCCATCCGATTGAGACCATTCCGCGCTCCGGACTGTCTTGCGACTGCCCTGGGCCTTCTTCAACTCCTCTGCCGCCTTTGCCACTGCGTCTTCAAACTTCGCATTCCGCACTCCAGTCCGGATAGCCGTGAGGATATCCTTCTCCTCCCCTTCAAGAGTGACACCCGTGGCACGGACGGCAAAGTAAGACGGCTTAAGTAAAACCACATCCTTGTTGTCATCCTTACCATCCGAGTGATCTGAGCGGCGCGAGAGAGCATCCGGCTTACCCATTGTCCGACCCGGACGATGCTGGAGAGTGAAGTCGAAGAGGGAGAGGTATAGCGACCAGCGGGCCTGACGGCGATTGAGTTTCTGGGCCTTGATGAAGTACTCCAGGTTCTTGTGGTCCGTCCAGATCTCAAACAGAGTCTCTGCGCCTTCCAGGTAGTGCCGCCACTCTTCGAGTGCCCGGATGATCGAAAGCATCTCCTTGTCGTGTATTTCGTAGTTCCGCTCCGCAGCCTGTAGACTTTTAGAGTAGAATGCGACAGGATGCCATTTACCATCATCCGGATCCAGTTGCGACAAGACTGCACCCGTAGCGTAATCCGACGAGTCCGCTTCAACCCGGTACGGCCGATCCTCCTTCGGAAAGACCAGAACGGGTTCCGAAGTGATCAGCTCCTTGATCCGAAGGAATGCGGATTGAGCGGAGTCGTTCCACTGCCATTCCTTTGCGCAAGTGAGGTCGAAGAGAGGCCGGGCGATATGCGAGTAGTCCTTGATGAAGCGGCGGTAGAAGTTGACAAACCCGAGGAAGGATTGGAGTTCAGTCCGAGTCCGAGGGGTCGGCCAGTCCGCGACTCCGGAAACCTTCACGGGATCCATCTCGATCTTACCCTCGGAGATGACGACTCCGAGATACTCCACCTTGGTCTGCTCGAATTCGCACTTGTCTGGTTGGAGGAAGAGCTTGTTCCGCTGGAGGATGTCTAGGACTCGCTTGAGAACCCGGCGATGCTCTTCGCGCGTCTTGGTGTAGATCAGGATGTCATCCAGATAGATAATGACCACACCTTCCGTAATGAGCTCCCGGAAGAGGTCGTTCATCATGGTCTGGAAGGTAGATGGGCTATTCGTCAGTCCGAAGAACATTACCAACGGCTCGAAGAGTCCGCGCGTAGTCCGGAATGCAGCCTTCCACTCGTCACCCTCCTTGATCCGGACATTGTTGAAACCCCACCGGACGTCGAGCTTGGAGAAGTAGCGAGTGTTCCGGAGTTTATCCACCAAGTCCGAGATGAGCGGAAGCGGGTACCGATTCTTGACCGTCATGCTGTTGAGCTTCCGGTAGTCCTGGACCAAGCGGAGCCATCCGTCCTTCTTCTTGACGAAGAACACCGGGGCAGCCATGGGTGACTTGCTGGGGCGGATCCGACCAGTCCGGAGATTTTCTTCCAGAAACTCGTCCAGCTGTTTTTGCTCCGCGGGGGACAGTGGGTAACACTTGGTAGAGGTCGGTTCCGCTCTGTCCACTAGCTCAATGGCGTGATCCCACGGACGCGGCATGGGCAGTTCGTCAAAGGACTCCTTGGCGAAGACGTCCTCGAATTCTCGGAGGAAGTCCGGGACTGCGCTGTTCCGAGGATCGTGGGGCTTGTTGCGCTGGAAGGCCAATGCGAGGCGCTGCGAGACCGTCTCCGAAGCTCGGACGTGTTCTTCCCGAAGACTCCGAAGGTACTCCGGAGTCGGAGGAGGAATGGCTGCGAAGATACGGTCTGTAAGGGGACACTCCTATTTTCCCCTTTTCCCCCTGTCCTGTCCCCTTCCTCCTCGTCCCTTTCCTCTTTATTTCATTCCCTTTCCTTTCCTTTCGTCCCCTTTCCTTTCCGCTTCCCTTCCGTTCACCCCCTTCGCATCCGAGCCCCATCCGGTGACTCCGAAGTCCTCCCGGGCTTCGGACTCACCTCGGATACACTCGGACTCGTAGATACACTTCGGGGCTCGTCCGGGCTACCTCCATCTTCCTTTCCCACTTCGTTATTCCTTGTCCCCACTCCCCCAGGTCGCTGGCACGGCTCCTGTACATTCCCCTTCCACTTCATTATCACATGCCCCCTCGTACCTTGTGATATTCGTTTGTACCTGTGGCTGGTGTACTGTACAGTTACCCTTCATTCCTCCCACGCTACTACAGTATATACTTCGCTTCCTAGCATGGAGAATCCCCATCCTGTTCTCTTTGGATTCTCCCTCTGCTAGGTGAGCAGCTCTCTCATGTATTGTAGTTAGTCTTATTCATCTCTTTGGATTCTCCCTCTGCTAGGCCTGCGCTGTCGGCCGTCTTGAGGTTGCCCTTACACGGTCTCCCTTCTCCAGTCCGGAGTCGTCCGGAGTTGTGGCCTCATCGTCCTCATCATCGTCCTCGCAGTCCTGAAGCTGCGGAAGATCGTCCGAGTGCAGTTCCTCGACCCTTGGCATCGGACCCGTACGACACTCCCGGAGTCGTACGGACTCCTTGCGCCAGGTCAGCTTGTCATGGCGGAACTCCTTCCGACAGGTATCGCATCCGGACGGACAGCGGCTCATGGTCACCTCCTTCGTCTGCCAGTCGATCTCGGGGTTGTGCTTCCGAAGCCAAGTGTATCCGAGGATGATGTCCTGCTGTCCGATGTTAGTGACCGCGAAAAGCATCTGTTCCGTGTGATCCTTGAACCGGAGTACAAGGTCCACAACTTCGGAGATGGATCCGTTTTCGTTTGGTGATCTGTCGACATTGAAGACCGGGATCGGAGCGGACAGCCTGCGTCGGGTGAAACCATGAGCATCCGCAAAGCGCGGATGCATGAAGACTCCGGTGGCTCCGCAGTCCACCAGGGCCTGCAGGGTGCATCGGTGTTGTGTATCCGTGCTCTGCACTTCAACGGGTATATCTAGCGAAAGCTTGCCGGGCAGCGCGGAGATCTTATAGCTACTGGGTAGCCGCCGTTCCCACTGCGGGCGAAACCTTCAGAGAGTGCGGATTGTAACCGGAGTCGTTTGCTTAACGTCGGATGAATCATCGGAGTGATTGGAATCGTCTATTTCGTCTATGCTAAGACAAGCAAATCGGTTATTCACCAACGAGGTCGCACTGATCACTCGTTGGTCCGGACAAAATCCGCCGTGTCCGATTCCTCAACCAGGGCCGTTCCCTCATCGTCTATTCCTTCCGAGGTCCCCGCAGTTTCTACAACATCGGCCGCGGTCAGGAGATCTTCGATGGCGGACATCCGCTCCTCGGTGGTCATGAACTGGATGTCGTACCGGAGTGGGCACTCCCGGGACATGTGACCGGGTTTGCCGCATCGGTAGCAGAGCTGCTAAACGGCGGGTCGGGAGCGGGTGTGGTCGACGTCCATGGGGACGCTGGGTGAGAGAGCCTTCGGAGGAGGCGGAGGTTGGAAACGGGGTTGCAGAGGCGGGAGCTGAGTCCGAGGCGCGGGGAGTACACCCGCAGGAGTCCGAGCGACTCCGAAGCTGGCTGCTGGTCGGACGAGGGATCCGGAGTGTCCGGAGTTTCCGGTGTCACACTCAGTGGGGTTTTCACTAAATGCTTTGGATGTAGTTGGATCAGTCAAGATAGATCAAACAGTCACCCAAGTTGTGCAGGCTGAGAGGTGTGTTATTGATAATAATGGCTTTGGAAACTATACTACCGAGTAGTACAGATAGGGGAAATAGGAGTGGAAAGGGGTAGAAGGTTGGAAGGAAAGAAAGAAGTGTAAAGTAAAACACTTCACAACACATTAGTACGAACTACTCAACAAGTGAATAATACATAGGTAAACACAAACAAATAGTAAACTGACTGAGACAAGTAGCACTGAGACGGAGGAATATTCCTGACTGAGTATACTAGTAATGCTCCAATAATACAAACTGCGATACGACAATTCAACTGAAATATGAAGCTCTAGATCAGACGTTTCTGCTAGATCACTTCCGATATTATTACTAAACACCTATAGAATCGTTCTATAGTCTAATGCTTAGCCAGCAACGGTCTATACGAATTCAATACGACTGGGGAGCAATCACTAAAGTATAAAGACTTAGGTGTACACAAGACACGTAATCTTATTTCTCTAGCAGGGGTTTCACAGGTCGAAGCACTCAATTATCAACTAATCAAGTCTATTCTTTACTATGTAACCTACAGTAATACTCTACTTAATAAGAAGTAGGTACTGCAAAAGAAAAGGAGGGAAGAGGATGAGAAATGAGGGCAGGAGAAAGAAAGATGGTAAAAAGTCTCTTTTTCTATCTACTACAATTTGGGGTTTATATAGACTACAGAGGAAAGGAGGCAGTGCAATGCCAAGCATTTCAAGGCTGTGCTGAATCTCTGAATGACTCATATTTCAGCAGGAGTAAGCCAATGATTTGTAATGGCCAAGCCAAAGCTTAGTAAGTTAAGACTTGCTGCTTAGTAAGTACAGTTTTCCGTTACATCCTGGAAAGTTCTATAAACTTCTCAGACATTCTACTATGTTCTTGTATGTCTTTCAAGTTATTTGAGCTTTTCATGAACAAGATCTAATGTCACTTTGATAAGTATTTGCAAAATACTAGAAGGTTCCGTAAAGTGCTTCAACTTTCCGTACAGTTCTTGTCATTTCCGCAATCTTTACTTGTCATGTAACATAGTGATTTAAGACTTGTTGACTTACTAGGATGTTGGAATATTAATTAGGGGTCCCAGGAGTAAATAGGGGAAAGTAGGAAATAATGTCTATGATCGTTATATGAGGTCCGTTTGACTTGACTCAATTTGCGAGTGTATGCCTTGGTTTTATAGTAGCATATGAAATAGCTACAAAACTCTAATATTCATGTCACTTACTACAAATCCCAATTTGGAGTATGACACCGGAGTGCACACCAAAGTGGAAGGATTGGTTAGCAGCACGGTTGTCAGCAACCCGCTGCGCTGCCTTGTACCATCCCTCAAAGTCATCCTTGTCCGGACAGTCTGCGGACTCGGCAACGCGGCTCTGGATGATGGAGTCCAATCCACGACGGAACTTCATCGTGATGTTGGAGCCCTCAGTGTATCCGGACTGGTCTACAAGGTCCCGGAACTCGTCGAGGTACTCCTGGAAAGTCCGACGCCCTTGGTGGTATCGGGTGGACTCCAGCTTGAGCATGGCGGCTTCGCGTTCTCGATCTGGAAGGAAGCGAGTCCGGAATTCGGTCGCGAAGGCAGCCCAGGATTCGAAGTACGGATCCTTCGGACTCCGGAGCACCATGTCTGCGTACTCCTTGGCGCGATCCTTCTGGAAGAAGGAGAGACACCAGAGGATTTTGGCCTGCTCGGTCGGAAAGTGGTCCGGACAGAGCTGGAAGTAGATGGAGCACGTGTTGTAGAACGTGCGACCATCCTTGCGGTTTCCGTCGAAGATCGGGGGAGAGGCGGGCTTCAAACGGGAACGCGGGGTGATTTCGGATCGACTCGGGGCGTGCTGGGAGGCTTCAGTGCCCCTCAGCTCGGAGTCCGGAGTTGTTTTCGGAGTAGTCGGACAGGGTGTTAAGAGGAGTCCTTCAATTCGGGCGAGTGTATCCTGGATGGAGCTGATTTGGGTTTGGTGTTCGTACGTCTGAGCCCACAAGGTCTGCAAAGTCTCGGAGTCCGGTCCTGGAGCGACTGGCTCGGATGGCGGGATCTGGCTGGAGGCGCCCGGCATTTCGGAGTCGTCAGGGGGGCGAGGGATGGAGTTCCTTGGGTCCTCAGAGGTGGGTGGGAGTAGCAGGAGAGCGTCCAGAATGTCCGCAAAACCGGAGAGACGTCGAGAACGAGTCCGGAGTGGCGCAGGACGTTTTCCGTAGGGCTCTGGTGCCAGGATGGGAGATCCTGTTCTGCTGTAAGGGCAACCTCAAGACGGCCGACAGCGCAGGCCTAGCAGAGGGAGAATCCAAAGAGATGAATAAAACTAACTACAATACATGAGAGAGCTGCCCACCTAGCAGAGGGAGAATCCAAAGAGAACAGGATGGGGATTCTCCATGCTAGGAAGCGAAGTATATACTGTAGTAGCGTGGGAGGAATGAAGGGTAACTGTACAGTACACCAGCCACAGGTACGGACGAATATCACAAGGTACGAGGGGGCATGTGATAATGAAGTGGAAGGGGAATGTACAGGAGTCGTGCCAGCGACCTAGGGAAGTGGGGACAAGGAGTAATGAAGTGGGAGAAGAGGATGGAGGTAGCCCGGACGAGCCCCGAAGTGTATCTACGAGTCCGAGTGTATCCGAGGTGAGTCCGAAGCCCGGGAGGACTTCGGAGTCACCGGATGGGGCTCGGATGCGAAGGGAGTGAACGGAAGGGAAGCGGGAAGGTAAGGGGATGAAAGGAAAGGAAAGGGAATGAAAGAAAGAGGAAAGGGACGAGGAGGAAGGGGACGGGACAGGGGAAAAAGGAGAAAATAGGAGTGTCCCCTTACATACAGCAGATTTATGTCGATTCAAATGTTTGCCTGTCATCCGTCACATTTCTTGACACCCAATCTCATTCATTGCCAGGTTTTGGGGGGGTTTGCTACTCAGGATTCGCAACCCAAACCCGACCTCAGAGGGGGAGATTTCGCATCATGGTTCAAGTCCTTTCATCTGATAGCATCAGGACTTGTAATGTGAACATCATGGCACATGTGGCATATTTTCGCCAGCGATGACGCGAACACGATCCGTCAGGTTTTAAAACAACGATATCCTGAGTTGGCCGACGTCATAAATTCACAACGGGTGTATCTGACGCCCGGGTTGTTGGATGTCTTGGAAAACAAAGGGATTAAACCGTATTCGTTCTTAGGTACCATCTGACTCGCTCAAATGGATACTCTGCCTGTTTTTTCCCCATATCCCTACATACAGAATATATGGCACCTATCCAATGAAAACAAGCACTCCTCCTCAGTTGATGTTGCGTTGTGAGAGAGAGGCCCTTTAATCCCCCATGGCCAGGGCCTCCTTTTTACTTGCCCTTCTCCAATGCAGAGAGCGCTTGAATGAAATCATGTGACCTCAAAGGTCGTGTGCCAATTTTGTTGGCAAGCTGTCGAACTGTGATGCGGTAGAACACGTATTCCACGCCCATAGACGTAGATGTCCCGACGAGTTCGAGTAGTAGTACGACACTAGTAGATTACGTAAACTAACTAATCTTACCTTCGTACCTTCAACTTCGTTCGCGCGCTGCGCCCTCTCGTCGTACGAGGCTTCGACACCCTCCCCTGCTCGGGTCACCAGCCCTTAGACTTCAGGTGCAAGTCCTCCCTGGCCTGGAATTGGCCCTCTTACCCTCGCAGGAGCCATGCGAGCGCCCCATCGTCCCGACGGCGCGACCTCACCCACACACGGACGCTTTACACGAACCCTCACATGATCAAGCGCTTCCTACAGCCAACACTTGTATATATGTCGTAGCCAGCCATGAGGCAATACCGAGACGTGAGATTCAAATATTTGTGCTCCCATACCGTATTAACATATTGGTTCAGATACTTGCTTTCCTTGACATTGAGGCCGGAGTGGAAAACTCAGATGACGACGACGACGATGACATTGATACAGATTGTAAGTGCCCTCAGGAATATCATCCCCAATCTAATGTTTAGCTTTCCAGACTTTATCTCAGATGCACCTGAGACACCCTCCAGCAACATGACTACTAGCAGACATGACATTGACCCGCCGGAACTCTGGAATACTGATGCTGAGTCCATGGTAAACGACATCATCGATCGTTACAGAGGTAGCCAGCAATCCACTTGGAAAGCTCAACACGCGGCAGACCGAAAGAAATATACAGATGGGTGGAAGACTACCATTGCGTATCTCCCTTCTATCACAGACGGAGACATTTGGAAAGTCGCCGTGACAGTAGGTCATCATCTCCTATACAGAAAATTCGATACAGCAGCTTACTCTCTCTTCAAGCCTGGCAGTGAACTTTGCGTTGTTGCAACTATCTACGTTGAGGCTCGAAACTACGGTGCTGCCCTCACCGTTCTCAAGGGCATAAACAATATCTGGCTCCGGTACTGTGCCCGATCGGGTTTCCGGTCGGACTTCGAAACCGGTCACCCTATTCATACATTCTATGATATAGCTGTGAATTGGATGAATATGAGGCAGTAAAGTGATAGTTACATACATTATATGTAGTATAGTTCATTTGAAATTACCCTTGACTAGACTCGATATCTGAATGCCCCACACCGAGGTATTTTATGCTAATATCAGAGCTCAAAGCCCCTAAAAAACACGTACAAATAGGACATAGCTGCTGCTAATAACAATACTACAAGCTCTACGCACTGCTCAGTGCCGGAATTAGTTTGGGATATAAGTTGGCTAAACACAAATGGGTAATATTAGATCAGTGGATGTCTCTATTCTATATTAGTGTCTCAGTAAGAAAGGCAAGGACTTTAGAAATGCTTCTAAATGGGCAGTGCATAATGGGCTTGAATGTGCTTGGAGTCATGGGGGAAATGGTGCAAGTTGAAGCCATGGACTTCTATAAGACTTCAGTAGGGTGCCGCTATTTTTCCCTATTTTATTTGATTAGTTCTTGAGACTTCAATTGACCGAAGGTTTGAATAGGAGCGGAAAAGGGGCGACTAAGATGCTGCCATTTCCGCTGTTTGTGCATGATTTGGGATAGATAAGATATGCACATGGAGATTACTAGCCCGATTCTATGCTCAAACTACTCGACTGTAAGATGTCTCGCCAGACATGTGCTGTGATACTTGCAATCCCAAGCTTTTTGACCTTGCCCGTCCTCCTCCACCTATTCCATCAACAAGAAAGCCGGCAATAAAAAAAGGCCTGTTTAATGAAAGAGTGTTCAAATCTTTGGTGGAATGGCGTGGTCGTATGAAAGCAAGATATCACTCGCGGCAACCATTCGCAGCAAGTGGTTTATTGGACAATGACACTTGCGAACGTCTCGCAAGTCTTGGAAAATGTCCATCACCACCCCAACTTCGTGCTTGATGGAACATTCATGGTCATATTATGACACATTGGGCCACAAATTGTGGAGCACGTTACGCTCTCCCACATGTTCGGGTGAAGTTCACCTGAATGGCCGAACAACACCTGAACAACACCTGAACAACACCTGAACAGAATCCGAACATTGGCTGAATTTCTCCACCAAAACTCTTTTTTTTGGTTCAGATTTTGTTCAGGTCACCTGAATTGTTCACCTGAACATTTGGTGAATTCAGGTGAATTTGACAGGTAATGTTCACCTGAATGTTAGGTGAATTCAGGTGGAATACATTAGTACTACTTCTTGTTGCAGGAATTCTTGAATAATGGCTCCTTTTAAGTGGGAAAACTGTTCAAAGAGGTCAACAATACTTCTTCCTAAGAATATCTTTTACTCTGAACACTGTTCTACTAACAAATAGTATATTGTTACAGTGGGAAAATATCACCCAAAATAGAAGTTGTAGAGCCATCTTTTCCGACTCTGCCGGTATAGATAGGCATTGTGAGGACTTGACTTATTAGTGAGAAAAATGTAAATTACTTGAAAAAACAGGGAAAGTTTTCAGTTTTCTTACTGTATAGACTGTTTAAGAGGTCTACTACATTTATCAGCAGTTGTTTTGTCAATGCTAAACACTCATTATGCTGAAGAAAGAGTTTCCTGATGTTCCCACAGTAACAAGAATTTTCCCATGGTCAGTATTAAACTTAGTGAATACTTTTGGGAAAGACCAAGATACTTTTTGCAGGGTATATCAACCTGGTTATATGACTATTTGTAGAATTCTCATGAGCTACTTTCATTGTTCTGCAGTAGCTGATAGAAATAGTAGAATCACATAGAAATGACACCATGGATGACAACCATATTGATGAGACCATATTCAGGTGTTGTTTGTATGTGGTTCAGATGATGTTTGGGTAATGTTCATATAATGTTCAGATAATGTTCAGGTGATGTCCAGATGCTGCTCAGATGACATTCATCTGACATTCAGATAGAATTTGGATGATCTCTGTTCACCTGAACATCACCTGAACATCACCTGGACACCATCTGAACATTATCTGAACCTGAACAAAGGCTACAAACAGAATCTGAACATTATCTGAACATTTGGTGAAATTCACCTGAACAGTATCTGAACAATACCCGAATACCCGAACATCACCTGAATGTCAGATGAACATGTGGTGGACTGCAACATACACAAATTGTGGCACTTTCTTTCAACGGCATGGCCTGATGACCCTACAACGACCATGCTCACCCCTCTTCACTCCACCGAACCAACTGCACCACGGTCAAGCACATCTCCCATTCTACTCGCCGCCGAGACCACACGTTGATATGCCCACAATAGTTCATAACCCATATCTCAGGCCTGGACAAATTCCGTACAACCCCGTGCCAGTAGAAATGGCTTCAACCCATTGGCAGCCCTCGTATCACAGTGCAGGTGCTTCATCATCTGCAACAACTTCGTACGCACATTCAAAAGGAAGGCCTTGTTAGACCTCGTGCCGTGCTCGTCCATCAGATTATCAGAGGTGGGCGCTGTCATAGACTCATACTTGGGCCCAAACTGGTGGATAATTGATTGAGCTGGTGGTTGGGATGACTAGCCATCGACTGTGATGCGCAGCGAGAGGGTGAGCATGTCGTCGTTGCCTTGTGCAAGGCTGGTAAATACTCGTCACCTTGGCTGTTCGATTTCTGACGCTTCGCGAAGCATCACGGTGCTGACGCAGAAGAGAGAGAGCGTCATTATCCTACTGCGGTTCCAGCTTCGGGTTTGTCCTGCTTCGACTCGGAGACATGGCTCTGCCGCAAAATTCTACTAATTGAATGGAATTCGGCGCCTGGCGCCCTGCCCTGTGCCCTTCTTCTTCAGGCTCTCCTATACACTGTCCTCTCCCTTCGCTGACGCCTCTACTGGATTGACAGGAATTGGGCGGGTGAGATCGACTATGGTAAGGTAGACCTCTATATCGAGAGGATGACAGTCGAGCCTCTGAGAATAGACATCGGCGTCTGACTATACGTGTGCCGGCATATTTCAAGGCCTGCGAGTTATGCACAGATCGTTTTCCAAGGTCCTCGTTCTTGGATTCTGCAGGTGATTGTGTATATGCGCGCTGTGTTCGTTGTCGGAAGCTGGAACTCTGTGGCCGCTGCCATTGTACCAAGAAGAGAGAGCACTTCAAGAACCCCAGGAAGCCAGATGTTTTGTACAAGAGGGTGATGCTGCCCGCACGATGCGCCGCCTTTTGGATGCTGCGTTTGCTGGTCTGTGTTGCCTTCTATCGTGTTTCACTTGTGGTCTGAGTATTTTGAGCAGGTCAGCACTGGTGTATTCTAGGTAACCACCGTGTCACCTATGAGCAATGCATGAGTGCCACAGGAATTAATCGGACTAATTGTGGTGACTGCTTGATGGCCTTAAGTCTACGTTGTGCACGTCAGCGAGTGGACCGAGAGATCGATAAGGATGATAACGAGGATGATTATCTGAATGCCAGCGTTAACGATGGTGTTGAGGAGGCATGGTCGGTGGGGGCAAAGTGGTAAGTCACTGGGTTTGTCGTTTGTATGCGCGGTGAATGGTACAGCAGGTGCTATATGCGACAGTAAGTACTGGGAGTTGAGGCGGGTAAGGAGCGGAGACTCACCGAAATACTACATTTCCAACCACATGACATGACGGACTCGCACGTATAGTGTGGTGTAGCGATCGAGGAGTGCAGAAGGTTAGTTGTATACGCTGAAGGTGCGGGTGGAGGAGGCGTCTGTGATGCTACGTATCTCGCGCACACACGTACGTGAGTACCTGGCCGCCAGTCCAACGCTGCTGTCGTCGCCTGCAATCTACGGGTGAGTGAACTGTTCTGCTTCATGCAGTCCGACCGCGGCTGACCTTTTCTCTCAGTGCCAACCTACTCGTCTACCATGGCCGTGAGCTACGTCGACGTCTCGTACGTGGTGCCGCTGTCTGTGTTCATCGGTGGGGTACATCCCTTCCTTCCTTCCCCGTCCTCCGCCGATTCACCTGCCTGACCTGTCCGTGTATCCATCTTCACTTATCTAGCTCGCTCGCTGCTTGCCTGCGTGGCAGCAGTCGTTCCAAGCGAGGGTGTGCTCATGTATCAATAGCACGTTCGTTCGTGCCGTGTGTGCGGTACGTTCATTCTCTGCTTTGTCTCTGGCTGACACCTTTCCTACTGCAGCAATCTCGCTGCTCGGTCCCTCGCCATGGTCAGTTGGCACACATGCTCAATGTCGAATCATCCTCGTCGCGTCGACGCGTGTGCTAACGTCTCCAAGGGTTCGTGTACGTGGTCTATCCTGGCCTTGTGGGTCGCTTACTGACTGTCCTCCCTCCCCTCGCTCCATGTTCGACATCCTCTCCTTCATCGTCGCCACCGCTGTACAGCCCCCAGCGCCACCCATCCTCACTCGTTCGTCGGCTGTCTGCCGCCATCGCATCCTCCGTAAGTTGCCCCGTCGTCGCCTCATGCCCATGTTGCATCGACTGACGCCTTCCATTGCACAGGCCCGCGCGATACGCAGTCGAGCGTCCGCGCTCGTCGTTGCGGTCGTTCGTTCGTACATTCCCTCGTACGCTCAACTCTTGGATGGGTGTCGGATGGATGTGAAGCCAGCGAGCATCCCTACCAAACCGAAACGAATGGAATAGCAAGGTAAGTAACATGTTCTGCGCAAATGTACGAGCACGCACTTACTGGGCAGCCACGCTCAGACAGACAGACAGACAGACAGTGTACTCTGCACGTTAGCTGACCATTTCCCAGCCAGATCTCCCTTGTCTTCATCCTTGTCATCGTGTTCACGTTGGCGTGCGTGCGTGAGTTCATTCGCAGCCACGAACGGCGCACTGGCGCACTGGAGCGCGGGGCAAGCCCGTGCTCAACGTCCGTTGGCGTATGCGTATGCGTATGCGATGGGATTACGATGGGATTGTGGTGGGATTGCGATTGGGATGGGTGGTAAGCCAGGAAACGTTAACGTTGGCGCGGATACGAGTGATCAATGCAAGCTCGATCGACTCCGTTCATATCCTGCATGCGCGTCAGTCCTCACATTGACACCATCCAACCTTCGCATGCGGATG